AAAATGCAATTAGGCCATTGAACGAAAAAAAAAAAGTACAATTAGGCCACTGAACACTCAAAAAATGTGCAATTTCACCTAATAGCAGGTTACCCTCAATTTTAACAGGTTATCTGCTTACGTGGCAGCTGAGTTGGTATTTTTAATAAATTTTAAATCATTTTTAATAAATTTTAATAATAAATTTTTATTTAAATTTTTTAAAAAATAAAAATGACTTTATTTAATTTTTTATTTAATTTTTTTCAATTTTTTATAAAATTTATTATTAAAATTAATTATTAAAAATTATTAAAAATGACAACTCAGCTGCCACGTAAGCAGGTAACCTGCTAAAATTGATAGTAACCTATTATCCGGTGAAATTGCATACGTTTGGAGAGTTCAGTGGCCTAATTGCACTTTTTGTTCGTTCAGTGGCCTAATTGCATTTTCAGGTTACGTTCAGTGGCCAATTTGAATCTTATTCCAAAAAAAAAATATTAAGTTCATACATTTTAGCAATTGGATCATAGAGCAAAAGCATGTACAATTGTGACAGTTAACAGTAAAAAATTGTGCAATTAACTTTGTTTACTATTTACCTCCACTAAAAGACTAGTTGTTATATCATAGACTATAATTCATCTTGTAATATCGTAACTTTTATAAGTGGTGCCTTTAGTGACCTTTTTTTTTCTTTCTTTTTTTTTTCTTTTTTTTTCTTTTACAGAACTATAAAATTCATTGGTATTGTGGGTACATCCACACATAATCTATTAACTACATGTTTAAAAAATAATACTTTTAACTTCATAATAAAAACTTGTTAATTTTCAACTAACAATTTCTTAAAATTATACCATAATCATGATTACAAGTCAAAAACTCATTCAAAACTATATTTAAATATAAACCGGATACAACCAGTTCTTACACAGATAAACTTTTTTAAATGAATAATTTTTACATTTTATACTTAAATTTCAAAAAAAAAAATATTACATTTTATATTTATATTTATATTTTAATAAAATTATATCTATTTAGTATCATAACATTAAAACAATACTTCTAAAATTGTGTCCGTGCATCGTATGTGGAAAATACTAGTTGTAGTAATACACAAGGAGTAAGATTACAAAGCCAATACAGCAAGTTTAGAAGATGCATATACACAATATTATAAGTTCATAAACTCAGTACATTAACTTCTTAAGCATTTAACTTCATAACGTAGACACGTAGTGGCATAAGTACAATTTAGTTACCGTGTGAATTCTTTTTATACATTTGAACATATTATACATATACACATATCAATCTAGTTCGAATATGAAATTCTATTTTATGCAATATTTTTTTAAAGGATCGAGTCAATTTGTAATCACTTGGATATATATATATATATATATATATATATATATATATATATATAATTAGGTTATGGTGCGGTTGTGCGATTAAATCTGAGTCATTGATCTTGCTTAAATCAACGTTCAAGATTACCAAAATTTAAAAAAAAAAATGTGATGGCAATTTGGTAATTTTTGTATCTAGATAAAATTAAGGTGTTTGGGTTTGAGCTTAATGTGCGTGAGTTTTGTGCTTAATGTGCGTGTGACAAATTATGTTGTGCATCTGTATGCACCATGCATGATGCATACGGATGCAAAAACAACGTCATTTTATTAAAAAACGTGTGTCTCCCCTTAAAAAAAAAATTAAAAAATTCAGGTTCGATTCTCAGCAACAACATATGAACTAAAATTTCAGAATCGATGAATTATAATTCCATAATCGATGAACTATAATTCCATAATCTTATCTATGAACTAAAAATTCCAGAATGAATGAACTAAAATTCCAGAATGAATGAACTAAAATTCCAGAATCTATGAACTAAAATTTCAGAATCGATGAACTACAATTCCAGAATCAATGAACTATAATTCCAGAATCAATGAACTAAAATTCCATAATCTATGAACTAATGAATGAACAACATAATGCTGTTCCTGGGAATCGAACCTGATTTTTTTTTTTTAAGGGGAGACACGCGTTTTTAATAAAACGACGTCGTTTTTGCATCCGTATGCATCATGCATGGTGCATACGGATGCACATCATAACTATTCTGTGCGTGTGGTTTGTGCTTAAGGTGCGTGTAGTTTGTGCTTAAGGTGTGTAGGTTGTGTGTTTAATGTGAGTAGTTGTTGAAATTTAAGGTGCGTGATGTTTGTGCTTAAGGTGCGTGGGGTTAGTACTTAATGTGAGTAGTTGTGTGAAACTTAAGGTGTGTGAGTTTTGCGCTTAAAGTGCGTGTGTTGTATGCTTAAGGTGCGTGATTCGTATGCTTAAGCTAATGTGCGTCAGTGTTGATGCGCGGAGTTAATACTTAATGTGCGCCATTTTAATGCTTAAGGTGGGTCCAACCGCACAACCGCACCGGAAGCCATTCCCGCACCTGAACCATTTCATATACATACACACACACACACACACACACACACACACATATATATGTGTGTGTGTGTGGGGGGGGGGGGGGGGGGGGGGAGGAATCAGGTGCATTTGATGCTTCCGGGTGGACGCACGTTAAGCATTAATCTGACGCACTTAAAGTACACAACACATGCACATTAAGCACACAAACAAAACACCTTTAGAACACAACCTCACGCATGTTAAGCACAAAAACACACGCACCTTAATTTTAAAAACAATTCACGTTAAGTACACACTCATGCACATTAAGTACAGAACTCACGCACCTTAAGCACACGACTCACGCACATTAAGCACAAAACTCACACACATTAAGCATAAAACTCATGCACTTTAAAGTTTTAACAACAATTCACATTAAGTACACACTCACGCACGTTAAGCACAAAACTCACGCACATTACGCACAAAACTCACGCACATTAAGTACAAAACTCACGCACATTAAACATTACATACTCACACACATTAAGCACAAGACTTACTCACATTAAGTACAAAACTCGGGCACATTAATCACCCGCACAACCGCACGAGAAACACTTAAATGCACCTGAACATATATATATATATATATATATATATATATATATATATATATATATATATATATATATATATATATATCAATTATTAATTTGGACACATATAAAAGTAAAAATGTAACTATTAAAAAATTTTGTGTTTTAATATTAATAGATAAATTAATCAACCAGGACTATGTGGTCCAATGGTATCCGGGTTGGACTTCTATTTAGAAGGTTGTGAGTTCGAGCCTCAGTGGAGGCATTATTAGCTCTTTGTGTTTCAGTAGGTTGAGAAAGTATATGAACAGATAGTACAATGTAATAGAGCTCGTAACATTCAAAAAAAAAAAAAAAAAAAAAGATAGATTAATCAAATGTAGTTCCAAATTAATATGGGCTTCAATGAGTCCTATAGTACATGTGCTCATTCCATTTGTGTCGGTAAATATTGGCAATTTATATCCTACACCACGGCGCGCGTTGCACTATGCGCCCAGATGCAAAACGACGTCGTTTTAATTATTTGTTTTTTTTTTTTTTGAAATTTCCCGCCCCAGTGAATGGCAGTAGTTTTTTCTTAAAAAAAAAAAAACCGTTGTTCAAGAATGTACATAGTGTTATACTAGAATACACATAATATTATACATGAATGTACATAATTATATAACAAAATATACATACTCTTTTTAAAAGATAATACACATAATCTAACATAATACATAATAAACATAAACTTTTAACATAATACACATCAACTCTTAACATAATACACGCAAATTTTCTGATTCGGATGTACATAATTGTATAAAAAGAATGTACATAATTGTATAAAAATACACATAACTGTATGAACCAATACACATAACGTTGTGAACAAATACACATAACGTTGTGAACAAATACACATAATCTCAGCAACTTCCTACCGCGCCTCCCAACACTACTCCAAAACGACGTCGTTTTGGGAGGCGCGCGGCGCACAGTGCTATGTGCGCCGTGGTGTAGGATATAACGATTGGTAAATATTATGCCTAGGACAATAACTATATTAAAGAACCTCAATGACAACAACTAATTATTCTCAAAATGATACTCTCTACATTTTTTTTTTTTATGTAAAATCATCAAAATTGTAGATCCAATTAAGCGCAAAAAGACATCTTAATTTATAAAAAAAAAGTATATACAACAAAATACTCTCGGCCTGTTTGGTTTGCAAAAAATATAGGATGAGCTAAGGAAAAAGTTTTTTTAGATTTTTTTTTTGATAAAAAATATTTTTTTATGAATTAAATTACTTAGATTTAAAGAAAACTTTTTTATTTAGAGCAAAAATTTTCAATCTAAAAGCATCTCCAACGTAGCGTGAAAATGGCAAATCGACAACACCATTCCACCATTCCACCATCCGACCATTTATCCAATTCCAACCAGCGACAAATCGGCAAAAATTTACCGTTGGTGAACAGTGTTGCGCCATATATGGCGCGACATTGTTCACCCGCGGCAAATGGGAGAGGGACAAAAAGATTACGATTTTGTCCTTGCTTATATATTTTGTTTATTTTGTTAAATACTTATATTTAAAGTTTGTATTATAAAGTATAAATTATACCATTTTAAAAATTTCATTGAGACGATCTAAACAAGACTAATATTTAAAAATTAATGTTAATAAAAATTATTATTTACATCACAAATTATATTTTATATTAATTTAATTAAGTTTAAACTAAATTATATTATACTAATTAAATTTAAACTAATAATTGAAAAATTAAATTATTTTAGTGTAGAAATTTTGTGTTTTGATGTAATGAATTGAAGATGAATAAAATTTAGTGTGAGATTATGTTGAAAATATGTATTTTGACATTTGATAAAAAAAATTGATATTTTGGTATAATGTGTTGAAGATGCTCTAATCAAACACTCCGTTGGTGTATACAGAGTATTTTACACATTTTATGACGCTTTTACGATTCGAAATAGATCAAAGTAATCAAACAACCCAATTCAAATTGGCATTTCAAAAATCCATTCCCACCTGGCAAACCTGGCACGCGAACAACCCGCTCTCATTCAAACACGGTCTTCACATACTTCACTCTATCCGAACAAAACCCTAGTGCTCTTTCTCTCTCTGTGTTCTTCTGAAGAGCTTTAGAGCTGACCGGAGCTCTGAGGAATCATGACGGCGGCGCCACTCCCGACAGGACGTGAGCTGTCGGATCCTCCGAATGACGGCATATCCAACCTTCGCTTCTCCAACCACAGCGATCAGCTCCTCGTGTCTTCCTGGGATAAGGCGAGTCTTTCTGTCGTGTATTTTCTTTTGTCCTAAGCTCGTTTTGGTTACAATTGTTGGTAGTTTATTGGATTTCGTTTTCGAGGTTGTAGATCCTATTTTAAACATTTTGAATATTTTGCTTTTCTATTAGACTGTTCGATTGTACGATGCTAGCGCTAATGCGCTGAGAGGAACGTTCGTTCACGGAGGCGCGGTGCTTGACTGTTGTTTCCATGACGATTCTTCAGGCTTCAGTGCCAGTACTGATAATACTGTTAGAAGGTACATATTGGAGCCTTTTTTAAACTTTCAAGTTTCTTCCATTTTGAGGCGAATTTGATACTCTGATTCCTTATAAGCACTGCAGAGTTACCAAACCTTGGTGAATCCAATGGTACTTAATTCAGATTAATGTATCCAGTAATACAATAATGAGAAATATCCTTGAATGGTGGATATTTGAATTTATTAATTAAGAGTAGTTATTGGTTTCAAGTAGTGCTCAACAGTGCAGTAATTTCATTATAAAATATTAAATACCTTATTGTAAGGAATTGAGGATTCTTCCTTAAAGATGGGAACTTGTATAAAGTAGAACTTGTGAAATATACCAGTATGGCGTTATGTAATAGTTCCTTGATGCATAATGAAGTTCTTCTGACTTGAGTAGCTCTTATGTCAATTCATAAACATGTCTAAATGTTTCCCTTACTAGAAAGTGTTACTCTTGATTTTCCAGGCTTGTATTCAATTATGGAAGGGATGATATTTTGGGGAAGCATGATGCACCTGTTCGCTGTGTTGAATACTCATACACTGGTAATTGTAGTCTGCAGATGCTAGGAATTAGTGCTGTATAATTCTCAATATTCCACCTTTTTTTCTTGTTTAGTTGTTTTTGTTTTTGTTTTTCATTTTTTTTTTTAATTTTATATTTTGGTTTTCTTGTTATTAAATGTTAAAAATACTAATCCATATAAAATATTAAAATATGTGCTCTAAGAGGTTCTGGAGATTAAAAGAGAATTATGTGGATAACAGAAATATACAACAAAACAAATACAGAGTAATCAATTTTATGATTTTAACTGCGGTGATAAAGTCAGTACTCAGTTCATGAACTCTCGTGCTCTTATAAATCTTAAATGATTAGGTGGATCTAGTCTTACCTATTTATATTACTCATTCAAGTTGACTTAGAGAAGAAAAACGTGTGTTTTTGTCATGTATAGGACAAGTGATCACTGGTAGTTGGGATAAAACCTTGAAGTGCTGGGATCCTAGAGGTGCTAGTGGGCAGGAGCGCACTCTTGTTGGGACTTATGCACAACCAGAGCGTGTTTACTCTCTGTCTCTTGTTGGCAACCGTTTAGTAGTGGCAACTGCTGGGAGGCATGTTAATGTATATGATCTCAGAAATATGTCTCAACCTGAGCAACGGAGGGAGTCATCGCTGAAATACCAAACAAGATGTGTGCGTTGTTATCCTAATGGAACGGGTACACTTCTGAATCTTCAATCTCTATATTTTGAGGGCTGTTATTGGCTCTGCTTGATTGCAAGCTTTTAGTTCACAGTATACACATTTTTTGTTTAATTATAACTCACTTTCAGAATGATAATTAAGGTTTTGTTTTGGAGATGATATATTGTTTTACTATGGTTTCTCATAAATCCATAGACATATATGAGTTTTTTTTTTTCGTGGTGCTATTCATTCTTGAGTTGAGCATGTAGCATAGGCTAACAACTATAAAGGAATATAGCTTAGGTATTGAACTTCTGCTCAAAACTTTGTCCAGTTTTACATTTTAGTTGTATGTTAGTGGAATTGGTGCTTCTGAATTATTCTTATGTTGTGTGTGTTTGCATTTAATTGGAAGTGTAATTTGCAGGTTATGCTCTTAGTTCTGTTGAAGGTCGCGTTGCCATGGAATTTTTTGATCTGTCTGAGGCTGGTCAATCCAAGAAGTATTGCTATTCTTTACCAAAAACTTGCAACAGCACTTTCCACTTGATTAAAACATGAATGCTTTTGAGGATTTTTCATCAAACACAGGCTGAACCTTTTTCCTGAAGTTTTCTTTATAGTGCCTGCCTTTTCTGGTTATTTAGTCTACAGTATATGTTCTTCCTATATTTGTAGAACTCATTTCTCCAATCTATATTTAGTAGAGTGATAGCTATAAGAAGTTGCAAATAAAAAGTAGATTCATCTTAGGCCAATAGTTGTTTTACATAGTTTTTAATTTTAATGTGCAGATATGCATTCAAATGTCATCGAAAATCTGAAGCTGGAAGGGACGTAGTCTACCCTGTTAATGCCATTGCATTTCACCCGATGTAAGTGTTTGGTTCCATGTACTCATGGTTTTCTGAGTAGAATCATAAAATTAACCTGATTCAAATTTTTCTGTGGCTCCTTATTATACTTAAAGATTTGCTTTGCAAACTTATTCTGCAGCTATGGTACATTTGCTACTGGGGGTTGTGACGGTTATGTTAATGTTTGGGATGGAAACAACAAAAAGAGGTTATATCAGGTAATTATATCGAATTCTTAAGAATATGCAGTGATTCTTCTTACTGATTTTCTTAATTGTACCTACCTGCAGTATTCCAAATACCCTGCAAGCGTTGCAGCCTTGTCATTCAGCAGAGATGGCAGACTGTTGGCTGTGGCCGCAAGTTATACATTTGAGGAGGGAGATAAACCGTAAGTGGTGTAATTAATGAGGTGTATCCACATATGCAACAATATAATGTATATTTCATATTTGTACCAATTTATTGACTGTATTTGTTCTTGCAGACATGAACCAGATGTCATATTTGTCCGAAGTGTGAATGAAGTTGAAGTGAAGCCAAAGCCTAAAGTGTTGCCCAACGCTGCTACTTAGAGGAGAGTTGTAATGGCTTGATTTATTGTAACTGTCAATATAATTTTGTTATAAAGTAGAAAAATTTATGAAATGTAAGATTGGCTGTTTAAATATGTACTTGAGGGCATAATGTACTTAATGGCAGATGAACTGAACTTGCTGCTTTGGTTGCTTGTTTGAACTAAAATTTTAGAACTTCCAAGTCAGCTTTTTATGTTGCCATTTTAAGATTTAAAACATCAGCCGTTAGAGAACACATATTAAATAGTTCACTTTTCACAATAGCAAAGCAAAGTAGCTGTGGACATCAATTAACAATACTTTTTTTAAGTACAATCTTGTATAAGTATCATGGCACTACTAAACTTGTGAACTGGTGATTACAGAAATTTTAACACAGTACAATTGGAAAGTGCCTGCCTCTACACCAGATACTTGAAAGACCAGATTTCAAAGGTAACCAGAAGTTTTCATTCTTCAAATTTGGACACCATGAGTTACCTACCTAAACCCAGAGCCAGCAGCCGCTTGTGCACCTGATCCAGCTGCTCTCCTCATTGCTCTTGATTGGGCAAGCATGCCTTCGTAATCCTGATGGTTGTAATTGTACTCACTTTTAGCAACAAAGAAGGATGAATACATTAACAATGTTATGAAGGGATCTGAATGAGATGGCAAAATTACCCGCTTCTCAAATATAGAATCTTTTGGATCAATAATCTTGTCTGCAATGCCATAGTCAATGGCCTCTTGTACTGTGAAATATTGAGGACGTTGAATATCTCTCTCAATTTCTTCCTTTGGTTTACCAATCCCTTTGGACAATAGCTCGAGGTAATAGTCTTTGTTTGCATCAAGCTCTTTTGCCTGTAGGATTCAATGTAACTCAATCTCTTTTGCCTGTAGGCATGCATCTAGAGACAAATACATTCTAATTTCTAAAACACAGATGCACACATTGGGTGTAATGTAGTTTATTCAGTGGGAGAGAGGGATGACCTTAATCCACATTTCAGTCACAGGTCCACTTGATTTGTAAACATCAGGTAGATATAATTTTGCTGCATTGCATCGATACAAAGTCAAATCAATTCCACCATGTAGGGTGTACAAGAAGATAACTATTTAAGTAACCAAATAAATTATCAAATCCACCATGTAACACATTACGGGCCAACTATTTATTTTGCTTTAATGATCACACTACACCCCCCATACTACATTCAAAGATCTTTATCATAACAGACGACGTTATAGAAAATGCAGAAAAGTAGTCTTACTGGATGCACTTGCTTGTAAAGCTCGGAAGCCTTTCTTCCCAAGTGACAGAAGCATTCCTGCTTGACCATATGCCTTACCAACATTCACTGTACAAACATCTGGTTTGCTTAACTGAGCCAGTGCACAAGAAAAAATTATTAGGTTATAAGGAGATTAACCAGCTGAAAAAAGAAAAAAAAAAAAAAAACTGTAGCAGTATAGTTTCTAATTTCATAACCATTATAGTACACCCAAGGGAAAACCGATATTAGGGGAATAGGGGGGCTAAGGCTTTTAAAAAATAAATAAATAAATAAAATCAAAATTGTAATTATCATTGAAGAAAAGTATACAATTATAATTACCTAGTTTTTATATATTTAAAAACTATATTATTAGTTCTATTAAACCCAAATTTCCTTTCAAAAAAAAAAACCCCAAATTTGAAAATTGCATGAAATTGTTTAAGAAAACAAGTGAAGAAAGAAGAGTTGGATTAACCAACAAATAATAGATAAGACTTATAAAATGAGAAAGATGGAGTAATTATAGTTGGTGAGCTCCATCAACAATATAATTCCTTCCATAAAACACAATATTACTAAACTGAATACAATAACACAACTATTAAATTATACTAATTCATTCCAAATTCTATTTAATTTAAAATGTTAAGTATGTAATATTCCTAAATTGAATACAACTATTTGTGTTTATATTTATTTGATTTTGGCCTTGTCCAATTTATTTTAATTATTTTGGAGTTGACCAATCGATTGTAATTTTTTTTTTTTTGAGCCTACTATTAGATTGAATTAGTAATAATTTACATTTTAAAAAAATTTTGGAGGGTCGAGGCCCCCGCCCCTGAGTGCACCTTTTTACAATCATGGGTAGTACAATTACAAGCTATATCAGATTCAAGTATATTAGTATAACACTAGATACTCACACGCATGGCATCAGCAATGGCGTATGCATCTGTTTCAGAACCAACCAACTCCCTCCTCTCATTCTGTTAAAAAATGTGGTGTAAGAAAACAGCACAGCACCATGTACCCGCTCAAAAGAAAAAATAGGTATGCAAATTGCGTCTCAAACTTTTAATGTTCCCTAGATTATGAAACACACAGAACCACCCTGCTTTTTATGAGTTTAATGAGACAAATTAATACTAACCTGGGTGCCATGTGAATTTATGTAGAGATATATAGGCTTTGAAGGATTATCATAATCCAACCACAAAAATTGAGCAACAAGAAGCTCACTAACGGCTGGTACAATCTGTTATAGCAAATGGAAAGACAGAAAGAATTTAGAATAACAAAATTTAATACCATAGGAGTGGTTTAAAGGCAAGATTTATAGAGGTACAGAACTGGCATGCCCAGATACACAATTCGAGCATCTAGAAGCAAAGAAGGCAAATCAGGAGGAGCAGATCTAGGCCTTCCACCATATCCCCTTGCCCCTCCATAATACATGCTGTAGGACATTTTTGAAGGACGTCTTCCATTCATGCTTGACATAGTCCACATCCCACCATTGTTCAGATAATTGTGTCTTGATGATATGCTTTCCTGTGAAATCACACTACACAGATAAGGACCTTTTGACAGTTAAGTAAAGGCCCGGAGACAACTCTTAGCAAGGATTTGGTTTAAACATAGGTATTGGAATTGGAATTAAAAAAAAAAAAAGGAATGAGAATGGATTTTATCAAAAGTAGCCAGTTTGTTTGGATATGAACTAACAATGTAATTGGAATTAAAGTTTTTTTAAAAAAATCTATAATAACAATAATAGTTTACTTAAAATTAATATTACTCCATTTGACAATTAAAAAATTTAAAATTCATAGTAATAATAATAATAAAAGAAAAGAAAATAATGTTTTGAGGAAAGAAATGGGAATGAAACCCATGGTTGGAGGGGTAACAAGAAAACCCATTCTTTCCTTCACTCCTTGTTCTTGGAATCCAAAAATTTTTACCGAGCATCTCAATCATTTTCATTTCCACTCTTGGGCTCGAAAGTAGCGAGCCAAGCACCCCCAATTCATTCAAATGAAATATCAAATATTCACCACATCAATTGTTTATAATTCTATTTGTCAGCACCATATTAAATTGGTAATTCTATTTGTCAGAACCACATTAGATTGGAAAACAAAACGAACCTCAGTGACACTTTCAGATTGCCGATGCACATGGCCATCTTCTTTCAGGAACAAATCCATCTGTGATGGAGTAAGGCCATAGAGAGTCTGAGGCACATTTTTATAGTTTTCCATCACTACAAAGAAAATAAATAAATAAATAGGGATAGCAGATTAAATTTTAGCAATGCTTTGCAAACAACAAGTGACTGAAATGATCAGTAACACATAGCAATCAATACAGTGTAACAGAGACACAGCTGGAACGTCAGATTCCTTCCAGGAAAGAGAACAAGCCTCTCAGATAAAAAGCTAAGATACTATTTCATCATTTCTTCAATGAATTGCCAAGAAAATGACAAATGGAAAACTTACAATAACACATATACTTTACTAGATAATTTGCAGCTTAGCTATCAAGAAAAAAGATAGAAAAGTAGAACAAAAATCTGAACTCCTTATACGGTTCCTATTGCTCAACGACTAGGTTAAACTATTACTGAAATAACAAACAGAAAACACCTAACAATTGCTCACAGCTAATAAATCAAAACAAAAATCCAAGAAATTGCTAACAAATAATACCGAATAGCAGATGAGACGATAAATTTCTAAAATATTAACAAAAAAAAAAAAAAGTACACCAAATAACAAAGGGTCAAAGAGACTGACACCCTTCTTTGAGATTCTCCTCTCGGAATTGTTTGGGTATGTGGTCGAGAGACTTAGAAGAAGCTACGGGAGACATGTACGGACATCCTCCTCTCACACCATTTTTTGCTCTAGGGCTGCGCCCAGAAGGTGCGAATATGAGGTTTTGGGAGGAGAGAAAACTCGATTTGTGGAGGCTTATAGAAGAACACAAGTCGCGGTTGTTCCCGGCGGTGGCCGGACCAGGAAGCCGAGAGAGAAGCAGAGAAGAAGACATGGAGTGCAGAGAGTTTCGCTTTCTATGAAGTCATACACAGAGCGGAGGTTGCTTCCAGAGTTAAACTGATGGGGATTTTGGCTGGCTGGCTGCGATTTCTGTAAAGATTATTGACAGGGACGAAATGCAAACAGGCCAGATCGGGTCGTGTACAACTTAGAAATATACGGAGTAGTAAATTGGGCCATATGAGATGACCCATTTTATTCACAGTGAAATATTTCCAACATTAAATGGGCAATAGTTATTGCATAGATCGTGGTTCACACAGCCTAAAAATAACGTTGTTTTGCTTAATTTTATTTTTTTGCGCACTCAACTGCAACATATATTTTTATAACTTATAATGTATATTATTTTACAACATAATGTACGTTATATTATCTCAGATGTTTCATTATTTTATACACGTTATGTACATTATTTTAACACATAATATACATTATTCTAACACATAATGTATATATTTTTACTCATATTATTCACAACGATGTTTTGGACCGTGATCCACACAGCTTTGTCTTAAATGGGGAATGGTTCAATAGTCGTGGATCAAAAGTGAAAATAAAACTAGGCAAAAGTGTCAAATAGACCCATCTATTACTTCGAAACGTTCAATTCCCTCCACCATCTAAAATATATTGTAATCAAGCACACTTACTCTCTAAATTTGTTCGATTAAGTTTTTTCGCAGGTAACCACTCAGTTGCCAATTTAGCTGGTTGATGTGGAAAATATTTGTAATGACATGAAATTATGTAATATACTTAGCAAACCCTAGAACACTAAATCAACTTTCCCTCTCCTCAGTTTACAACACGAAATCAGCTCCCCATTCTTCAATATTCAATCGCGATTTGCCATTGGTTTCGTCAACAGAGCCATTGGCTTTGTCAATCTTCAACTTTATAATGTCATCATCTTCTACTTCATCTAGCGTGCGAACTAACTTGGAGTATGAGCCTCCTATGTATTGTTGGTGTGGATTGAAGGCTCCAATATGCACAACCCGAATTTCTGGGAGGAAATTTTATGGATGTCAAAAATGGAAGGTGCGTTTATATCCTTATTTTATAGATTGTTGTAAATTTTGGATTGAGAAAATTTCTTTTAAATTTTTTCAAGTGGGTCTTGGGTGCGGTTTTTTCGTTTGGAAAGAAACTGAGAACGCATATGGAATGGAGGAATTGAAGATTTTGGTTGCAAGCATGAGGACTGACTTGATGAGTGAAATAAGTGTTCTACGTGCAATAATTGAGAGTGAATTGCAGCGGAGGAAATTGAAGGAGAAGAAAGATGTAAAGAGAAAGTGGTTTTTGATTTTTTTTTTTAAAATTTTGCTAGTTTTAGTTAAAATTATGTTGTAGTTAAGATTATGTTATTATTATGTAATATATACTTAGCAACCCCTAGTTAAGATTATGTTGTAGTGAATCTAATGACATGTATGAATGCTATTAACATTTTGTATCTTGGGTTTTCTTATTGCCTTTTGTAGCATTAACACAAACATTGACTATTCTCCCTTTAAGTTTAATGCAATTGGTTTAATATGCCAAAACATTAACACAAACATTATGCCTTTTGGTTTATATATTACTTTGCCAAAAGATAAACATAGACCACTCTGCCAAACATAGATCAGAACTGTTTTTTTTTTTTTTTTTTTTTTTTTTTTTTTTTTTTTCAAGCATTAACACAAACAGAAGTTAGTTACACTGCCTTGTCTACACAAACATTAACAGTGGCAAAACATACTAACAAAACATAGTTACAATGCATTGTCTAAACACACCTAAAACTGCCAAAACATAGTTAACACTAAGACAAATACAATAGAGTTAATTCCCTCCACTTGAAATATTGGCAATGCTACTTGTGGTAGGTGTGTTTTTTCTCCCCCTTTTAGGTTTATATAGCACTTGTTGACTTGGTAGTCCACGCTATACAAAAATAAAACAAGAAGTTAATTATTTCCAAAGTAAAACAACAATATTGCAAGTAAATTATGCAACATCATTCCTTACATTTAGTGTGACTTCTCCCGTGTGTGGGTTTGTATATATACCAAGCCCGACTTATCTTCTACCCATTGCAGCATCGGAATGCCCACTTCTTGTAGTAGAACTCCCTCCTCTTCCACCAGAACTCCCACCTCTTGCACCAGAACTGCCTCATCTAGCACCAGAAATGCATCTTCCTATAGCAGCAACATTAGAACTCCCTCCTCTAGCAGTTGAACTTCCAGTCTGGCTTGGTTGAATAGGACAATAACGTTTGTTGTGTCCATTTTGCTTACACAGTGCACAAGTAATCACTCTTCCCTTTATAGACAAATGTGTAGTGGACTGTGAAGGCCTTGGTTATGATTCTTCTTGCTTTCTTATTTTCTTAGGCCTTCTAGTCGTCTTCTTGGGAGCAGGTGCATGTATCTTCTCACTTTGAGTTTTTGGCCAAAACAGCTCACCATTTAAGGGTTGAATGACGTGTATATGTTTTGATATACACATCCTTGTGGATTCATGAGCTTGTATGTTTTCTTTCGAATACTGCGTGGTGCGTTTATGAATACCTAATGGTGTGTTTTGTGGTGATGCATACCTAATGGTGATTTTTTGGTGTATTGGTACATTTTCTGTTGTGCGTTTCCTAATACTATTGGTGCGTCGACACTGACCGCACGTTAAGGCGCAGCCGCATTGAAACTTATATATATATATATATATATATATATATATATATATATATATATATATATATATATATATATATATATAAATTTAGTCTCGACTAAATTTCAATTTTGGTCCTGTGACTATAGGGCTCCTGTTAATTGCAGTTCATGCACTAGTACAAAATTGAGAATAGAAGTCTCACTTTACAAGACACATAGTCTATGGTTTGTGATGTAAACACATAGTTATTTACCATTAGTAGGGTGGTTAAACTTGTTGTGTGATATATTGCCAATAAATTCAAATTATCTTTACCGTTGCATATTTCTATTTGGGATTATTCCAGTTTGGTTCTTTAAGTATTGCATTTGGTTTACTTACAATACATTTCTATTTGTTTATTTGTATCATCCATAAAGATGGGTGGAATATTGCACTGCATGCTGGCCCTTTGCTTAGTCACCTTTAACATGCTATTGCGTATTGATTATACACATGTCAATGTCTTCAATGGAATCTGACATAAATTAATAAGAGATATAAGGTTAAGATTCAGGATCTGGAGAAAGTTCTGGAGCCTTTATTTTACCACTGGAAACAGAAGAGACAATCAAGAACTTAGGCATTTGGTGACTTCACAACCGCATGGTAAGAAGAAAAAAATGTTATCGTTGGTGTGTGTGTTTATTTATTTATTTATTTTTTTTTGTGGGGGTGGTTGGCTCTATTACTCTTGGTAGTTGAGAATCTCTATCTCATATAAGCATACATGTTTTTTTTGGTGATGACATGAATTAATGTGGTTTATAACTCGTGCCAATGTGGTTTATAACTCGTGAGCATGAGTTCCTCAAGGAGATCGAAATCGGCCCTACAAACCTCAGCTGCTACGTCAATGGGGCGTGGAAGGCTAGTGGACCTACGGTCTCCACTGTAAATCCGGCCAACAATGAGGTCAGTTCATTTAGTTAAGTTTTCTTCGTTTTGATTTTGAAAAGCAGGCAGTGAGATTATGAGAAAATGGAGTGAATAGTTGATGGAGATTGGCAATAACGGCAAATTGCATAAATGATTTGGTTCTATGAGTGAACTTCGGAGTGTTTTTTACACGAAAAATTTTGGAGTTCCTAATTTGTTTGAAGTTTATTGTTCCGAATTTCATTGATTCAACAAGTATGGTTGATAATTATTTGTTAATAAGGAGAAGTTCCTTTTATGAATTGCGGCGCTGATAGTTTATTTTTATCTTTATTTTTGTGTTCATTAACTCAGACCATAGCCGAAGTTGTTGAAGCTTCAATTGAAGATTATGAAGAAGGCATGCAGGCTTGTAACGAAGCAGCAAAGCTGTGGATGCAGGTATATTCATCACGATGATATCAATCTTGTCACCCTATCTTCACTTTTGTCAAAATCACCTGCCTAAAGTATTGTCACTCACATAATTGTGTGCCTACAGTGTGAAAAACATCTTAATTTTGTACTTGATCTCTTCTTGACTCCTTTAGTGTAAACTAAATGTCTTGATTGTTTCTATTTTGTCTCAGATTCCAGCACCAAAAAGAGGTGATATTGTTAGGCAGATTGGTGATGCACTTAGAGCAAAACTTCACTACTTTGGCTGACTTGTTTCACTTGAAATGGGGAAAATACTACCCGAAGGAATTGGGGAGGTTCAAGTATGTCTACTTTACTAAGTTTGTGGTGTAACAAAAAAGTCTTATTCTTCTGCAACAATGAAACTGTTCCTTGACTTGTTCTCCTGCCAACAATAATGTACAAGTTAATTCCATTTTCCCTGAGAATAATTGATGGTTTTCATTTCTAAATTACTTACTACTTGGGCAGATGTGCTAGTGCATAATCATCTTCGATCTTCCTTTTTGATTATCACATTTTTTTGAATAGCTATTACATATTAAATCAGCAATACTTAAATGCAAGTGGTGGTACTACTTACTGATTAGTTATATATTTTCTTTTAGCATTCATTAGTTGTTATTTGTTTACTGGTTTAAATTAGTTCTTGAATAGATAAGTTTAATTAATTGTTATTTGTTTTTTAAATTTGTTGTTGAATAGATTGGTTTAATTAGTTGTTATTAGTTTTGTAAATTTTTGTGTGAATTTTGATAATTATGTAGAGGTTTTAGGTTTTATTTTGAGCAAATAACAGAGGAATATTGTATTTTTAATTTTATTTTTTATTTTTTTAAAAAGTATCCGCGACACCTTCTCTGAAGAGGTGTCGCGGATACACTTAATTAAAATAAATAAATAAATACTTTCCGCGACACCCATCTGTGCGTAGTGTCGCGGAAAGTATTTAATAATAAATTATTAATTGACTTTCCGAGAAAGTCTGTATTAAAAAAAATAAAAATTGCTTATTTAGCTTTCCGCGACACCTTATACAGGTGCCTCGGAAAGCTAAACACTTTCAGAGGCTCTGGAATTCGAGTCACGGTGACTCGGAAAGTATTTTATAGGAGACTCAGATAGCTTTTTTTGTACTAGTGATGACTTTCAAAAGTTTTAATTTAGTATCTTGACTATGCAATTTTTATCAATTTTGGTCACTTCGGTCAAATTTTGCCGGAAAATTTTAATAGTTAAAATAATGAGGGTATTTTAGTCATTTCACATCTCTTTTCTTCTTTTGGTCACCATGTTCAAAGTTGAAATTGTTGAAATCTTACTTACGGTCAAGTATGTTGCAAGTGAGACTTAATGGATTAGCTTTAATCTCTATTGAAAATGAGATTTTGGAAGAAGTTGATATCAAAAGTTTGGTGGATGATTTTGTGTCTAAATGTTTAAGGCGCATGTCACTTTTTAAATGAAATTTTAGATGTATTTTTTTTTATACAATATTTATATTTTGAATTTTTGACACAACTTTTTGAACAACTATTATTTATATATAGAAATTATTTAAAAAAAAAGAGGACCCAAATTAAAATATTGAACATGACCTCAATTTTTATTCGAACGAACCAATATTGAAATTACTTGAAAAATGAGTCCAAATTAAAATATTGTACCAAACTTGAAAAATGAGTCCAAATTAAAATATTGTACCAAACTAATATTTTGATCGGAACGTACGTCCCGAATTTGTTACGTTAGAGTGTAAAGAAAGAGCTTCTACAATCCTACAATCCTACTATCCATACATCCATCCAGGAGGATTTAGATCAGAAGCTAAGGAAAACCAAATTAGATCATCATAAATGACCTTGGAAGCTAGATAGCAAGCATATAATGTTGTATTATTGCTTCAATTGGACTGGGCAACCGCTGTACAATATAAGCATAGGAAACATTTGTACGTTTTCATTAATATATTATAATCAAACTGGCTTGGAAGCATTTTATTTATGCATTAAATTAAAACATATATGTCAAGTTCCATAAACAGGCCGCTCGCCTGCTAGTGACGTCAATCTCAAATAAAAACATACATTAAATCTTACGGGACTCAAAATAAATGCTGTGATGGGCCGAGACTCAAATTAAAACCACACCAAACAGAAAATTGAAGCAACATATATAGTCACGTACGTACGTACCAATCACATATATATGTGTTCAAAAAACATCAACTTATTATAGCTTGCGCAATATCAAATTGACCGCAATTGAACGTGGCTGAAGAGTTAAAACCCATTCAGGATAATGCTTATAAGATGGAGAAAGCTGGACGCTGAACCGTTGTAAGATTGCTATCAATGCGACTTTGGCTTCAACCAATGCGTAGTTTTGACCAATGCAAATTCGTGGCCCACCGCCAAATGGAAAATAGGCACCTGGGGTGTTGGATGCCTTTGAAATTCCATCTTTGAACCTCTCTGGTTTGAACTCTAGGGCATCGCCACCCCACAAATCCTTGTCCCGATGCAATGAAATTAAGGGAACCACAACATGCACTCCCGCAGGTAGCTTAATGTTTCCTAGTTTTGTATCTTCTCGAGTCTCGCGAGACAACACTGGAGCAAGTGGATACAATCTCAGAATCTCATTAAGTATCATGTTCATCTGCAAAAGTTCGATTGCATAAAATAAAATGAGAAACTTAATTGTACATACACACTGCTGGAAATTATGGAATTTTCGACCACCTGAAAGTGATCTTATATCAAGTTGAAAGCAAAAAGTGGTCGGAAACAGCAACAAAAGTTTTTTCAGATACCAAAAGTGGTCGGAACAAGACTTTCGACTTGATTTAAGATCATTTTCAGGTGGTCGAAAATTCCATAATTTCCAGCCGTGACAGTAGCTTAATCAAGATCATATTGACTATGCGTATATATATATACTTACAATTTTGAGGTGACTCAACTTGTGAAAATCGCAAGATTGAATGGCGGCCACCGGCCCAAAGGCTTGCATGATTTCATCCCTTAATCGTTGTTGCCACTCTAAGTGTTTACCCATATAAATTAAGGTCCATCCAATCAAGTTGGTTGTGGTTTCTTGTCCCCCAAAGTAGAATAATTTGCACTCTTCTATTACTTCATCCATACTCAATCCCTTGTTCATGTTTCCATTATTTCTGATTTCTTCTAGGTTTGATTCCAACAAAATTCCTAGTAGATCTGCTGTGCTTGCAGTAGCTTTTCCTGCTCTCACCTCCTCCATTCTCTTCACCACAACTTCTTGTACTAATCCTCTCACTTCCCTCGCCTTTTTCTGTATCTTCATTTTCATTTTAGTTGGCAAAGCCCTGCATGCATGCAGTACGTATATATTCTTAATTTTTGCTGTTTTCTTAAATGGCTGGTCTTTAATTTATATAATTTTTAATTCATCTTTTCTTTTTCTATTTAATAATACTTTTAGACTAAATTAAATATATATTATTACTAAAAATTAATTTGTAAATAACGTATGCATGGGAGAGGAGATTAATTAAATAAAAATGCTAGCTACTTCATCTAGGTCCATGCGAACGTGCATATATATATATATATATATATATATATATATATATATATATATATATATATATATATATATATATATATATATATATATATATATATATATATATATATATATATATATATATATATATATATATATATATAGATTCAGGTTCAGGTGCATTTAAGTGTTTCCCGTGTGGTTGTGCAGGTGATTAATGTGCGCGAGTTTAATTTTGTATTTAATGTGCGTGATGTAACGTTTTCCTTATGTATTATCATCATTATTATTATTATTAAGTTTATTATATAATAACAATAATATTTAAGTGGTGCAAATCAATAGGCTGACTAAGTATTAGAACTTAGTCAGCATTAGGTAATTAGTTACCTACATTGATGGGATGTAGGTTATTTAGACTCCCAAGTCCTCTCACTGCTCGGTTGACGTATCATACACCATCTAAAGTCACTGAGAGAAGTGAGAGAAACATAACTAAAACCTACGGAGATTTTACAGCAGCCCGAGGAACCTGCTCATCAGACCACGAGTCCCTGGTGATCAAGATCTAAAGCTATGGCTGGAGGTTGGTAATCTAAACTCTGTTTTAATAGCCACGTATCTATTAATTGTTAAGTGGATTGTGTGCTTACATTTGGTATCCGAGCCAATTTTATCTCTGCCTAGCCTTTGATTCAATTGCATAATACAGTCATTTACATATGCTATACTTTCTTTGTATAATTTAGAATACATATGTAATGTGCAATTCTGTTGGGCTGCTGGAAATATTGTGTAATTTTTTTTTCCGCATTTAGTTAAAAAAAAAAAAAATTTCCAGATTTGTTTTTCCCGTACTGCTCTGCGTTTTTTTTTCTCCTTCGCCATTTTTTCCCGTTCGCCGGCAAGGGGAGTGCTCGCCGGATTCCGTTCGCCGGCGATGCACGCCCCTCCGGTGGCGCTGGCTGACTCCCGCCAAGGACGGCGGTGGTGGCGGCACTGGGTTGCTCCCGATAGTGTCGACACCAACTGCCTCCTTCAATGGCGCGGAGGTGGCCGGCGGCAGAGACACGGACATGGCGTGGCGGCGGTGGCGAGTGGTCTGGCGGTGGTCCGGCTTCTCCGCCACTGCTTCTCCGTCTCGGCGTCGATTTGGTTCTCCGTATCCTCTGTTCGTGTCGCGCAGCGCAGATGAAGAAGATGATGAGATTTTGTATTTTGGGCCGGGTCTGGCCCAATTCGGCCAGACCTAGGCTCCAAAAAAAAAAAAAATTTGGCTTTGGGCTTGCCAGAAATTTGGGCCTAAAAATTTTTTTGGGCTTGCTGAATTTTTTTTTTTTTCTTCTCTTCCTTTTCTCTCTTCATCATATTTAGCTTCTTCTTATGGGTTTTATTCAAATTTTTTTTTTCTAAAGTTGATATTAAATTATAATTCCTTTGAACAAATTATTCTGTCTCAATTTGTTTGAATTTTAATTTAATATTGAATTTCAGTTTAAATTGTATTCAGTATTACAATTTAATTGTGGAGCATGAGTTATAATGTGCATAATCTGAGCATGTAATGTGCGTGAGTGTGTAATGTTTGATGTGCGTGAGTTTTGTACTTAATATGCATGAGTCTTGTGCGTAATGTGCATGAATTTTGTGATTAATGTGCGTGAGTGTGTACTTAATGTGAGTTGTGTGAGTTGTTGTTGAAACTTTAAAGTGCATGAGTTTTATGCTTAATGTGCGTGAGTCGTGTGCTTATGATGCGTGAGTTTTGTATTTAATGTGCGTGAATGTGTACTTAATGTGAGTTGTTTTTAAAACTTAAGGTGCATGTGCTTTCGTGCTTAACATGCGTGAGACTTGTGCTTAACATGCGTGATACTTGTTCTTAACATGCGTGAGGCTTGTGCTTAACATGCGTGAGGTTGTGTGTCTGAAGATGTTTTGTTTTTGTGCTTAATGTGCGTGTGTTGTATACTTTAAGTGCGTCAGATTAATGCTTAACGTGTGTCCACCCGTACAACCGCACGGAAGCCTCAAATGCACCTGATCCCTTCCCTATATATATATATATATATATAAAATTTGTAGTTTTGCATTTTAATTAATTACATTAACACATTCTTACCAAATTACCTTGATATATAGTATAGCATGCAGTTCTTATCTAATACGGGCTCATAAATAACATGAATCAAGTCTCGTCAATAGAATCAAGCACGAAGTCCGGCAGAGGTATATTGAAACTATATTTAAAATATATAGGAGAAGTTAATGTAACGCACCAATACTGTGGGATGAACGCGAATGGTCCAAGCTCATTGATAAGCATGGTTAGCTTATCAAGATTGTGGAATATGTTTCTTCCTTCTTCAAAGTTGCTGCCAAAAGCCGTTCGTGCAATCGCATCGCTGGTTAAGATGCTGAGATATGGCCCAACGTTGACCTCCGACCCCTCTGGTTTTACGATGTTGTCCCATTTATCCACCATCTCGCGACTGGTTTTATAGAATGCAGGTACCATAACCTACACACATATATATATTTCAGTATTACAAATTAAAGTATTTAGCGTGTCAAAACCTATAAAGACAAGGAATAACACTCGGTCAGCGAATAATGCTGGTAACTCACCAATACACGTTAAGTATCAATATTTATACATAGATATAATCAAAAGCGTTTGAGGAGTACAGTATATAGGTTGGATTAAAGTATAGATAAACCTTCAACTTCTCTATGTGAAAAGCTGGATTGATAATTCTTTTGTTCATCTGCCATCTGTCTGCTTCACAGGCAAACAGTCCTCGTGCTACCTCCAACATTGCCGACCGATTTGGCTTGTGGAAAGTGGTGTAATTTGCGAGCATTTCCTTAATCAATCCGGGCTCTGTGATGATCACGGATGGTGCTGTTCCAAACCACAGAAAAGACTTCTTGCCTATATATAATATGTTAAAAGTTGATAAGAATTTCAGAAATTAATTTTTAATTAGAGTTAATACCATCCGAGGTTCTCCGAGTATACTGGTTTTGCCACGTTTAGTTCTAAACTTTCAAATTGACCATTCGTGGTCCTTCGACTTTCAAATTGAACCATTCGCGATCCAAGTTAATCACCCAGGGCCCTTCAACTATTAAATTTTAGCCAACCATGGTCCTTTCAAGAGGACCACGACTAGTTAAATTTCGAAACTTGAAGGACCATTGGTGGTTAACTTGGACCACGAATGGTTAAATTTGAAAGTCAAAGGACCACATATGGTCAATTTGAAAGTTTAGGACTAAACGTGGCAAAACCAGTATACTCGGAGGACCTCAAATGGTATTAACTCTTTTTAATTACATGCATAAATATAAATTAAAGTTGTTGAAACAGATGGAATATAATATAATGATGAGGAACCATAGACTCGGATTGCATTATGAAGAAATGGGAGAATGCGAGGGGCGATGTCGTTAGAAAGATTCTCCAAAGGTCCGCAGCGGTTTGCTTGGAAGGTGGAGCGTGCGATTTCTACCAAATCTCCGATCAACGGCTTGTAAGAATTGCCCGAAAAACCTTGCTGCCTAAACAGCCTTTCTATCCTCCTTGGCTTCACCCATACCCAATCCAGGAATTTGTATAGAAATCTTGAAAGTATGATTGCAAAGAGAACTGCAGTGGAGTTGTAAAGAATCTCCATTTCTTCCTACTTGCATTGAATTGAACAAGCTAGCTCAGGCATGCCTGAATTTAAAGGGTCCATACATGCAGGTTATTGGCTGTGGAGATGCCAATTCAATTAATTGCACTTATGGCCTTTGATTCTGTTTATTTATTTATTTTTCTTTTTTGTAGTTTTTAATTTTTCTTTTACCAAATTTATTGATCAACTCATTGAAGTACAGGATATGGGTGGAATTCAATGACCAAATTAACTAGTAATAATATACCATGATAATGAGTAGTTGAACTTGGATATAAGGGTTTCCCAGTTCTACTATCTAGCCAACCTTAGCTTGTCTATTTCACTAATTATTAGTCCTTTTACCATTTTATGCATGGATTATTAGTCATGGATAACATTAGGGTATGAGTTGTCCGGATGGAAGCTTGGAGAGTCGTCTCATTAAAACTATACAAACAAGTTATAACTTTTGGTGTAATGATAAACACTTGATCATTACACCCAGTGTTATTAGAGCAAGTCACAAGGACAATTATTGAAGGTACTCTAGGTATTCATGTCTACCTTTGCTACTAGCTGTAGTTTTTGACATTGTGGTAACTGGTAAGCGTTTGATCTGACAATTAGTACCATAACCCCGATGACTTGGAGAGCCGAGTCCTACATCTATCCTACAATTGAAACACGGCACTAATTGTTGCGCAAGTATAAGGAAGCTGATCCATTTCATTGGTTGAGTATTTAGTCGGAGAAATATCAACCTTGGGTACGTTGATCATTGTTGTAGATCCCTACATGGGGTTGAAGAAAGAGACAGAGTAACAAGCTCCTTGTAGCATTGTGAAAACCTTGCAAACTATGTGATAGCTCTGTAATTAAAGTATAAGTTTGTTTTCGCTTATACTTTGTGGGGTGATCAAAGTTACTAGTGAAATCTCTCTTGGCGAAAAATGGAATAGAAGAATTACACAATCTTTGAACCACCATAAAATTATATCTCTCATTTACTTTACATATTTACATTTCTGCATATTGTTGTCTCAACATTTTGAAGCTAAAAAAATTGCTAAGTGTGCTACACATAATTTTAATTTGTTGTGCATTAACTTTGATCAAAACTTTTTTTTTTTTTTTTGGCTAATTAGTTAAAATTTCAAACAAATCTTTACAAGTAGTGTTGAGAAATTAACTTTGAAGTCGAGACACAAGTCTATTTTTACTTCATTGCAATTTCTTTTTTAATTAATCTTTCTATTCACCAACTTTATTCATTTTAACGGGAATCATCATATACAAATTAAATTAAAATTGGAAAAAATAAAAGAAGGAAAATATATATCAAGTTTAGCTACCAGGACTATGTGGTCTAATGGTATCCGGGTTGGACTTCTATTTGGAAGGTTGTAAGTTCAAGCCTCAGTGGAGGCGTTATTGGTTCTTTGTGTTTCAGTAGGTTGAGAAAGTATATGAACAGATACTACAATGTAATAGGGCCAGTAACATTCAAAAAAAAAAATATATCAAGTTTAGCTAAGCAACTATCTTGCCCGTTGCTTGAATTTGAGGAAAAAACATTCCACGTGTAACGTACCCAAAATTTCAATATAAAGAACAGACAACTCATATGTTACGTTCTAAAAGCAATTAGGTCCATTGGCATTCATCCATACTCGAATTTATTCAAAATACTGAAAGATATATGGAGTCATAGTATAAATGAATGCACAAACAAATACTTCACTTTTATTTTCTAGGAAAAACGACAATTTTATTCCATTAATTATACTAATATTGTAGACTCAGTTAATTAATTATTACTATATACACAATTTTCCTTTTAATTATGTGTAGAGTGACCGTTTTAATAGGTTTAAGATAGGTTGGCAAAAAAAAAAAAAAAAAGGGAGTAAGGTTCAAATTGGCCACTGAACGTAACTTGAAAATGCAATTAGGCGAATGAACGAAAACAAAAGTGCAATTAGGCCAATGAACGGAAAAAAAAATTGCAATTAGGCCACTGAACACTTCAAAAATGTGCAATTAGGCCACTGAACACTCCAAATGTATGCAATTTCACCGGATAGTAGGTTACCATCAATTGTAGCAGGCATGGTTGCAGTAGGCGCTATGCGCTAGTCGGGCGCCCGGACAGCGCCTAGCGCCTAGGCGGAATCTAGGCGGGCGCCAAAAAAACAGTGGTAGACTTGCATTTTTACAATTTTAATGAGGTTGTTTTCAACATTTAATCAAATAACACATCAAAATAAATGAATTAATGATAATTCATAAGTCATAATATCAAAACAATGGTTTTCAAAAAAAAAAAACATTAAAACAATATTAAAAATTAAAAATACTCAAATACTTCAATCATCCAAATATTCAAAGTATCAAACTAGTTTACGAGTGTATATATGTCATATTATATATATGTACGCGCGCGTACACACACACATATATATATAATAATAAATAGGCCGAGCCGATCGGGTTAACTCGGCCGAAATAGACGAGTTAATTCGACTAACTTAGACGCTAGGCGGCCAAATCGGCCGAGTTAGGCGATAGGCGAATGCCTAGGCGGGCGCCTAGGGGGGAAATCGCCACGATCTAGAGGCGCCAAGCGCCTAGACCGATTTTTACAACCCTGGTAGCAGGTTACCTGCTCACGTGGAAGCTAAGTTGGCATTTTTAATAATTTTTAAAAAAATTTAATAATAAAAATTTTTAAAAAATATAAAAAAATAAAATAAAAAATAAAATTAGACAGGGTGGCCGGCCACCCCATCAATTTTTTAACTTAAAAAAAAATAAATTTATTATTAAAATTTATTAAAAATTATTTAAAAATTATCAAAAATGTCAACTCAGCTGCCATGTAAGCAGATAACCTGTTAAAATTAATGGTAACCTGCTATCAGTTGAAATTGCATACATTAATTAGAGTGTTCAGTGACCTAATTGTATTTTTTTCGTTTAATGGTCTAATTACATTTCAGTGGCCAATTTGAACCTTATTCCAAAAAAAAAAAAAAAAAACATGATAATAATATCAAATCCAATAGTATGGTACCAAAACCCCCAACTAAACACCACCTTACTAAACTTGGAAACCAAAACAATATAATTTGAAGTTATTGTAGCTACACTCCAATGGCAAAAAACGAGCATGCCAACTTCAACGATTAATTAATACAAAATCATATTAATAAAAAATGACTTAGATGTCCTTCAATAATTTGAAAATTTAAAATGCATTGTTATTATTAACATAAATTGTTAGTTGTGGACTAAAAAGTCACTTTCCACATAGTTCGATGAGAAATTTTGTATTTAGAAATAATTCATGGACTGAGCCTACAATATGAATATTATATATATATATATATATATATATATATATATATATATATATATATATATATATATATATATATGTGTGTGTGTGTGTGTGTGTGTGTGTGTGTGTGTGTGTGTGTGTGTGTGTGTGTCTAGTTTCACACACACACACACACACACACACACACATACTAATTTTACACGCGTAAAGTGCAGATGGGCTATGTCCAAGATTATATAGGAGAAGTTCATATATAGGTAATTGAATTTTGAATTTGTTTATTTAAATATATAATTCAAAGTATATGAATGCAAGATAATATAAGAGATTCATTATAATTGTTACTAAAATAAATGTTTGGAACTTTGTCAAATCAATAGTCTAAATACTTAGTCTAAATAAATATTACTTCTGGTTTGAATTTTTCTAAGTCTTCTTAATTCTCTTTTGAGTAACATTGTCATTGTGTTCACCTTCACTATTTGCCCTCTTCTTTTTTGTTGGTAGTGTGTTATTTGCTATTGGATTATTGGTGGTAGCATTGATGACAGTGTCATGCAATGAAATTATGGTGTAGGAAGCTGTGGATTTGTCATGTTGTGTATATGACTGAGATCTTAGTTGTATTATGAACTCTTGATCTTGCAAGCGCCTGTTGATATTTTGTAGTGGCAATTTTTTCCCTAAGTTAATACCATCTCAGGTCCTCCGAGTATAGTGGTTTTGCCACGTTTAGCCCCAAACATTCAAATTGACCATCTATGGTCCTTCGACTTTCAAATTTAACCATTCGTGGTCCAAGTTAACCACTCATGGTCCTTCAAGTTTCAAAATTTAACCAATGGTGGTCCTTTTGAAAGGATCATGGTTGGTTAAAATTTAATAGTTAAAGGATCATGGGTGGTTAACTTGGACCGCGAATAGTTAAATTTGAAAGTCGAAGGACCACAGATGGTCAATTTGAAAGTTTAGGACTAATTAAACGTGGCAAAACCTATACTCGGAGGACCTCAAATGGTATTAACTCTTTTTTCCCTACATGTTTCATGTGAAAGTATTGAATAAAATATTAATATTTATTATATTTGTATAAGGTTCATGAGTAGTACCTTTTATTCTATTTTCATACATTGTTTACTTGATAGTAACAACAATAACTCTACATGTAGTCTGAATGCTGATGTTGCAACGTGTCTATTTTAATCAACAATTTCCATATTCATTTTGCACCTTTCATTTTCAAGTTCATATTTTTAGAATTACTAGGAATTAGTGTGATCCTTGATTTTGTGTGTGTGTGATTTTTTGTAATTTTTTTATTGAGTTGATACTAATTTAACGTTGGAGTTAAATTGTTTTCCACTTTGTGCATAAACATTCTTTTTAAAATAGTGACTACATCCTATATACCAAGTGTTTTTGTTGTCAGGTGCGTCGGTCTAAAGTTTTAAGTGCGTGGTTTTCATTCTTACGATGCGTTGTTTTACTTCTTAATGTGCGTTATTTTCGTTCTTAAGGTGCACCATTTTTTACAGTTTGCTTCTTTATCCCAAAATACAACCACTATCCTTTTCCAATCATGTTTCAACAATCAGTTAATGGACATTGCCAAAGTAACACAGAAGAGAAGAGATATTAGTCGAGCTCCCGATAACCAAAGAAACAACGCCTTTTTTTTTTTTTTTTTTTTTTTTTAAATTTTCATTGATTTGAGCCATTGATCTAGAACTTTGTGTTGGTGTGTTTTTCTAACTTGTTGTGTTCAAGACTAGAGTAGGTGCCAAGATGTGAGAGCGCGTTATAGAAGCTCGTAGTCACCTTATAGTCAACCTTTCTATAAGTGTATATGTACATTCTAGTAATTAAATTGTTGGTCTTTGTAATTGATTAGTAATTTTGGGATTGTTTAGTATTGTTGGTGGATAGAACTTTTGGAATAGTTATGCTGTGCATCTGCATGGTGCATACAGATGCAAAAACGACGTCGTTTTATTAAAAATCCGCGTCTTCTCTTTAAAAAAAAAAAATTCAGGTTCGATTCCTAGTAACAACATTATTTTGTTCATTCATTATGGAATTTTAGTTCATGGATTATGGAATTATAGTTCATCGATTATGGAACTATAGTTCATCGATTCTGGAATTATAGTTCATCGATTCTGAAATTTTAGTTCATAGATTCTGGAATTTTAGTTCATTCATTCTGAAAATTTTAGTTCATAGATTAGATTATGGAATTATAGTTCATCAATTATGGAATTATAGTTCATCGATTATGGAATTATAGTTTCGAACCTAATTTTTTTTTTAAGGGGAGACGCGCGTTTTATAAAAACGACATCGTTTTTGCATCCGTATGCACCATGCTTGGTGCATACGGATGCACAGCATAATTTGCCGAACTTTTGTTAGTCTATGCGTCTGGGCCTAGCACGTTGCCTAAAGAAAATCCTCATTTTTAACTATTCGCCCAAACACTTAATAATAATGAGGTTAATAGTAAAAAAAAAAAAGGAAAAATAAAAAAGAATCCGTAATTCAAGACAACACAATGTTCTAAAATTATTTTTATGCATTATTTTATTATTAATCTAACTAGTATTTTCACCCGTGCGATGTACTGTGCGTATTTGCTAAAATATTTTAAGAATATTTGGATCGATATATAATTATATAAATTATAACATCAAAGGTGGTTTGGATCGATTATGTATTTATGTTTTGTGATGTTATCAATGCTGGAATTCGATAAAATAATTGTTGAATTAATAGCTAATGTGTAGATGTAAGCATCTAGTGCTGAAACTTTGTGGATTTTATATATCAGTGTTTAGGATTTGTATAACTTGAGTAAATGTGCTCTTAAAAAAAAACATAATATCACCGGTTCGAATTACACATTATTGAAAATCTCTTTGTAGACGACATTGGTAGTAGTAACAAAATCTTGTCCATCTTCGTCTAGAGCTAACACATTTAGACCACATACAATTGACAGTGATTAAACACCAGTTTTTTCAACAATAACCAAACATGAGTTAGTGTTTGACCCTGACTTTTCAAGTCATGGCATATGCGAGTATTAACGGGAATTGTTTATGCTGAAACTTGAAGAGCAATCTCGTAATAATAATAACAAAATATATATGTAAATTAGACATTAGAAACAATTTTTAATAAAAGTTCACCCTATAATTAAATACAAAACAAAAGTTTATATCAAATTTAATATCTTAAAGCTAATTAAGTTGCGCTCTACTTACAAATTTTAATTGCCAAAACATAAGTTTATATCAAATTTTTATTCTTAGTTGTATACAGAACAGAGCCTCCCGGAAGGCCTAAACAAAGCCACCATTGTTTTGATTCCAAGAAAGCAGTCTCCTGAAAATCTGAAATAGTCGCAGACTTACGCCCGATTGTCCTATGCAATATAATGTCATTTATAAGGTTATTGCAAAGATGCTGGCCAACATAATGAAGGGGTTGATGACGCAAGTGATTTTCGTGACGCAATGTACCTTAATTTATCTCAGATCGTTTAATCACAGATGATATTGTAAACGCGAAAAACTTGAATTGTATATATTCGAAATTCAAAGTATCGGTTACAAGTAGTATCAAGTATATATCAAACGGGAAGGGGTACAATCTCTGTATATGAGAAGTCCTCTGATTCTCTACTACAAGTATGCCTATTGGAAGTGTCCAAATTTGGAATATGTCAAATTGGAAGTGTGCCGAGTTCAGAGTATGCTGAACTTGAAGTAGTTCTTTGTTGGAAGTATGCCGAATCCGGAATATGCCGAATTGGAAGTGTGCCGAGTTCAAAGTATGTTGAACTGGAAGTATGCCAAGTTCGGGAGTATGCCGAACTGGAAGTATGCTGAATTCGGGAGTGTGCCGAATTGGAGTAATTCCTTGCTGAAGGGCCTCCGGAGTTAGTAGCTTGTTCCTCAGTGAAGGGCTAATATGCAGCTTGATCTTCAAAGAAGGGCTTCCGGTGTTCAAGTGGCGTGTTCCTCAGCGCAGTATACGCAGTACAACTGCGGGCGTGTTCCAGACGATATCCTGGAGAGATTTCGGCAGAGCTTCGATATGTAGATTTCCAGAGCTCCTATTCTTGAAAATGAAACCACTATTTATAGTGGTGAGTGTGAGGGAAAATCCCAACCAACTCTTAATTCCTTATTTAATTTAATTTCTTTAATTAAATTAAGGAATGTATCGGGACACCATTGCGTCCAAGTTCATGATTTCATTAAATTTCCAAATAATATCAAATATTCAAATTTCCCAAAATTATATAATCCACATATAATTTTGATGGGCCAAGACCAAGTCAAACCCACTAACTAGGCAACCCAATTCATCCAAGCAGCCTGGTCCAACTTGATTAAATCGTTCACCATTTCGGGCCGAACAATCCAACATCCAATTACACTTAATTAAGTAATTAAACCAATTAATTATTCAATGAGTCATTTAATTAACCCAATTAAATAAATATTAGTCCAACTAGCTTAATTAAAGTAATTAATTTAATAATCAAATATTCACCACGGTCCAACACCATTATTTAAATTTTCAATGCTTACAGATATATTAGTCGCGGCTGAGACCGGGCACTTCCTTAGGCGCAAGACTAACGGAAAGATTGGGTGGACAGTTGTAACTGTTTGAAAAAATAACATAAAATGACATTTAAGTGGTTATTTTGTGGTACAAATATTAGTTTGGTTCATTTTTACTTTGGTCGGGTCAAAATAAATTTGGATTCTTTATAGTGAGACGAATAGATTGATATATTGTATGCTCAAAACGAATAATGGGTGAATGAGAAATTGATTCTCAAAGTAGACCCATTTGAGTTGGAAAAATGAAGGGATAAGACTTTAAAGTAGCATTTGCCCTACATTGGTTTGAGAAGTGGGTTTGCACCACTATTTACAAGAGCCTTTCTAAGGCTTATTGAATTGTATAACATAGAGGCTCTCTCTCGCGCGCACTCGTGTACGCGGGCACCTGGGGCATGAATGTTATCCCTTCATCTCTAATATAAGCTACTTCTCGTTCTTGCCATCTGAGTTCTGTCCACGCACTTGTTCGCTAGGTTCTAAGTTTCGTCTTTGATCCTTTGTGTCTTATTGGTCTCAAGTAAGTGGATTATGTTTTAAATAATAAATCACTTATCTATATATTTGTATATAGTTGCTGGTTGCCTGGTTAGAATTATAATCTAGAAGATTATAACTTCCATTATTTTGTTATATATACATATATACATACATACATATATATATATACATATATATATATATATATATATATATATATAAATATATATAAATATAAGTTTTAGTGCGGTTGAGTGTCTCTCGTGCGATTGTGCGGGTGATTAATGTGCGTGAGTTTTATACTTAATATGCGTGAGTCTTGTGCTTAAGATGCGCGAGGTTTGTGTTTAATGTGCATGAGTGTGTACTGAGTTTTGTGCTCAATGTGCGTGAGTCTTGTGCTTAAGATGCGTAAGTTTTATGCTTAATGTGCGTGAGTGTGTACTTAATGTGAGTTGTTGTTGAAACTTTAAGGTGCATAAGTTTTGAGCTTAATGTGCGTGAGTTTTGTGCTTAAGGTGTATGAATCTTGTGCTTAAGGTGCATGAGTTTTGTACTTAATGTGCGTGAGTGTGTACTTAATGTGAGTTGTTGTTGAAACTTAAGGTGCATGTATTTTTCTTCTTAAGGTGCGTGCTGCTTGTACTTAACATGCGTGAGGCTTATGCTTAACATGCGTGAGTTTTGTGCTTAACGTGCATGTGTTTGTGTTCTGAAGGTGTTTTGTTTGTGTGCTTAATGTGCGTGTGTTGTGTACTTAAAGTGCGTCAGTTAATGCTTAATGTTCGTCCAACCGCACAACCGCATGGGAAGCCCCTCCCGCACGTGATCTCTTCCCCATATATATATATATATATATATATATATATATATATATATATATATATATATATATATATATATATATCGAAAATATAAATAATATATATTTAACTTCGTGTGTGTATATATATTATTGTGTAAAATCGACTTGTTTATTTCTAATAGTAAAACCCCTATTTTTATAAAATCAGAATATTTAGTAAAAAGTATTTATTTACTTTAAAATAGAGTTGAGATGCAGAAACAAAATAAAACCCGAAACAAAGGGGTGTAACTGCAACGTTTGGGCAACGTGCTAGGCCCAAACGCACAGACCAACAAAAGTTCTATCCACCAACAATACTAAACAATCTCAAAATTACTAATCAATTACAAAGACCAACAATTCAATTACTAGAATGTAAATATACACTTATAGCTAGAAAGGTTGACTATAAGGTGACTACGAGCTTCTATAACACGCTCTCACATCTTTGCACCTACTCCAGTCTTGAACACAACAAGTTAGGAAAACACACAAACACAAAGTTAGCATAAAATGCTAAGTAAGGCTTACTCCGCTCCGTAATAAATAAATAAATAAATAAATAAATAAATAAATAAATATATATATATATATATATATATATATATATATATATATATATATATATATATATATATATATATGGGCTGGTTCTGGTGCGAAATACACAATTAGATTTGAGTCGTTGATCAAATCTAGATCAACGGCTCAAATCAATGAAAAAGAATTTCAAAAAAAAAAAAGAAGCTTTGTTTCTTTGGTTATCAAGAGCTCGACTGTTATCTCTTCTCTTCTATGCTACTTTGGCAATGTCCATTAACTTATTGCTGAAACATCCATCAACTAATTGTTGAAACATGATTGAAAAAGGATAGTGGTTGTGTTTTGGGATAAAGAAGCAAACTGTAAAAAATGGTGCACCTTAAGAACGAAAATAACGCACCTTAAGAAGGAAAACAACGCACCGTAAGAAGGAAAATCACGCACTTAAAACTGTAGACCGGCGCACCTTGACAACAAAAACACTTGGTATATAGGATGTAGTCACTATTTAAAAAAAGGTTTATGGACAAAGTGGAAAACAATTTAACTCCAAGGTTAAATTAGTATCAATTCAATAAAAAAAATTACAAAAGATCACACATAATATCAAGTATCACACTCATTCCTACTAATTCTAAAAATATGAATTTGAAAATGAACAGGTGCAAAATGGATATGAAAATTGTTTATTAAACTAGACACGTTGCAACATCAGTATTCAGACTACATGTAGAGTTATTGTTGTTACTATCAAGTAAACAATATATAATGTATGAAAATACATAAAAGGTACTACTCACGAATCTTATACAAATATAATAAATATTAAATAATTTATTCAATACTTTCACATGAAACATGTAGGAAAAAAATTACCACTACAAAATATCAACAGGCGCTTGCAAGATCAAGAGTTTACAGTACAACTAAGATCCCAGTCATATACACAACATGAAAAATTCACAGCTTCTTACACCATAATTTCATTTCATGGCACTGCCATCAATGCTACCACCAATAATCCAATTGCAAGTAACACACTACCAACAAAAAAGAAGAGGGCAAATAGTGAAGGTGAACACAATAGCAATGCTACTCAAAAGAGAATTAAGAAGACTTAGAAAAATTTAAACCAAAAATAATATTTATTTAGACCAACGTTTTTAGACTAAGTATTTAGGCTATTGATTTGACAAAGTTCCAAACATTTATTTTAGTGACAATTATAATGAATCTCCTATATTATCTTGCATTCATATACTTTGAATTACATATTTAAATAAACAAATTCGAAATTCAATTACTTATGTATGAACTTCTCCTATATAATCTTGGACATAACCCATCCGCACTTTACGCGTGTAAAACTAGTATGTATGTATGTATGTATATATATATATATATATATATATATATATATATATATATATATATATATATATATATATATATATATATATGTGTGTGTGTGTGTGTGTGTGTGTGTGTGTGTGTGTGTGTACTAGTATGTATGTGTATATATATGTGTGTGTGTGTGAAACTAGTATGCCCCCGCGCGCGCGCACACACACACACTTATATATATATATATATATATATATATATATATATATATATATATATATATATTAGTCATATTGTAAACTCAGTCCTTGAATTATTATTACTAAATACAAAATTTTTCATCGAATTATATGTGTAAAGTGACTTTTTAGTTCACAATTAACAATTTCTGTTAATAATAACAATGCATTTTAAATTTTTAAATTATTGAAGGACATCTAAGTCATTTTTTATTAATATGATTTTGTATTAATTAATCGATGAAGTTGGCATGCTCGCTTTTTGCCATTGGAGTGTAGCTACAATAACTTCAAATTATATTGTTTTGGTTTCCAAGTTTAGTAAGATGGTGTTTAGTGGGGTGTTTTGGTACCATACTATTGGATTTGATATTATTATCATGTTTTTTTTTTTTTTTGGCCAACCTATCTTAAACCTATTAAAATTGTCACACTACACATAATTAAAAGGAAAATTGTGTATATAGAAATAATTAATTAACTGGATTCACAATATTAGTATAATTAATGGACTAAAATTGTCATTTTTCCTAAAAAATAAAAGTAAAGTATTTGCTTGTGCATTCATTTATACTATGACTCCATATATGTGAATACATTCGGATGTAAATCATGGTAACTCAACTGAACATGAACCACAGAGGCTAGACTTTTGCTAATTACTGCGCACAAGGAGCTCCCTTACTTTGAGAGTGTGGTCCCTTACTTTGAGAGGTTGCTCCCACACTGCCGCTGGTGAGACTTGATCCCGGCTTGGTCATTCTTCCAAACTTTCACCTCTATGACCAGTTGAACTACCCATGCGGGTCAGTATTTTGAATACATTCGAGTATGGATGAATGCCAATGGACCTAATTGCTTTTACTTTTTAGAACGTAACATATGAGTTGTCTGTTCTTTATATTGAAATTTTGGGTACGTTACACATGGAATGTTTTTTCCTCAAATTCAAGCAACGGGCAAGATAGTTGCTTAGCTAAATTTGATATATATTTTCCTTCTTTTATTTTTTCCAATTTTAATTTAATTTGTATATGATGATTCCCGTTAAAATGAATAAATTAAAGTTGGTGAATAGAAAGATTAATTATCTTTAAAAAAAAAAGATTAATTAAAAAAATTGCAACGAAGTAAAATTAGACTTGTGGCTTGACTTCAAAGCTAATTTTTCAACACTACTTGTAAAGATTTGTTTGAAATTTTAACTAATTAGCCAAAAAAAAAAGTTTTGATCAAAGTTAATGGACAACAAAAATTATGTGTAGCACGCTTAGCAACTTTTTTTTAGCTTGAAAATGTTGAGACAACAATATGTAAAGTAAATGAGTGATATAATTTTATGGTGGTTCAAAGATTGTGTAATTCTTCTATTTCATTTTTCGCCAAGAGAGATTTGACTAGTAACTTTGATCATCCCACAAATTATAAGCGAAAATAAACTTGTATTTTAATTATAGACCTATCACACAGTTTGCAAGATTTTCACAATGCTACAAGGAGCTTGTTACTCTGTCTCTTTCTTCAACCCCATGTAGGGATCTAGCTACAACAATGATCAACCCAAGGTTGATATTTCTTTGACTAAATACTCCACCAATGAAGTGGATCATCAGTTTCCTTATGCTTGCGTAACAATTAGTGCCGTGTTTCAATTGTAGGATAGATGTTGGACTCGGCTCTCCAAGTCATCGGGGTTGTGGTACTAATTGTCAGATCAAACGCTTACAGTTACCACAATGTTAAAAACTACAGCTAGTAGCAAATGTGGACATGACTTTATTTCACCAGGCCAATACGTAGAGTACCTTCAATAATTGTCCTTGTGACTTGCTCTAGTAATACTGGTTTTAAAGATCAAGTGTTTATCGTTACGTGTGGGGGATAAAAAAAAAATTAAAAACTACAAAAAAATAAAAATAAATAAATAAACAGAATCAAAGGCCATAAGTGCAATTAATTGGCATCTCCACAGCCAATAACCTGCATGTATGGACACTTTAAATTCAGGCATGTCTGAGCTAGCTTATTCAATGCATGTAGGAAGAAATGAAGATTCTTTACAACTCCATTGCAGTTCCCTTATAATATGCATGTGTATGGTTAAATTCATTACCCAAAACGACCAATGCCTATAGTTGGTTATAGCCATTTTAAAACTAGCTAAGGGAGTGTAAGCACCCTCCCCAACAGAAGAATATTCTTTTTAATACTAAACTTTACAACTATATTCACGACTACATATGTGGAATGTTAGGGATAATTTAATTTGTAACTGTAATTGTTTTTTCTATTCTTTCAATTCAAATCATATTTTAATAAATGGAGTGATCTGAGTAGATATTTACTGAATAGCCAAAGCATACCACTGAATCACCACGAAATCACTCCTGGAAATTATGGAATTTCCGATCACCTGAAAATGATCTTAAATTAAGTAGAAAGTCTTGTTCCGACCACTTTTAGTATCTGGAAAAACCTTTGTTGCTATTTCTGACCACTTTTTGCTTTCGACTTGATATAAGATCACTTTCAGGTGGTCGAAAATTTCATAATTTTCAGCAGTGAATGCACATCGTGGGGGAAAGATATGGGTACACATATTTTCAGATAAACCAGTTATTGTACGACCCGTGGAAACACGTATGTGTTTGGGAAAAAGATCCCCCGAATATTGGGTAGCTGTTGTGAAACCCGGTCGAATACTTTATGACCGAAAAGTCGGAAAAAACTATGGTTTCCAAACGCACGAGGGAGATTTACCCTAGGCTACTTTGCTTTGTAAACTGTAACACGATCATATATATAGATTAGTCATGTGCGGAGCCCGGTTAGGTTGGCATTGCCACCACCGATGGTATAAGTTCGGTTAGGTCGACATTGCCACCACCGGGGCTATAAGTCCGGTTAGGTCGGCATTGCCACCACCAGCGCGGTTAGCCCGAGACCGCATCTCAGCATAAGGCTTACGAAGTAGGCTCTATAAGCTCGATTAGGTCAGCATTGCCACCACCGGCGCTATAAGCCCGATTAGGTCAGGATTACCACCATTGGCGCTACAAGCCCAATTATGTCAGCATTGCTATCACCGGCGCTATAAGCCCGATTAGGTCAGTATTGCCACCATCGGCGTGATAAGCCCGGGACCATGAATAAAAGACTCCTTTGAGCTAATATTCTCCCATTTACTCTTTACTCTACATACACACAGTATACACTTCACATACATCAAGCAATACTCGGTATCAATGGTACTAGGCAACATGCTTATGAGCCCCGTCAACGCGTTCAAGCACCTCGTTAACATTTTGAAACAATAAGCTGATACAAAAAATTGATTAACAAAAAATAAACATTTGGTTATTTGGCGAAGTCAAACCAATCAAAATTGACTGATCAACTATATTACCCAACTACGCCCACAATTTTTTTTATTAGATAAATAAACTATATATAGTTCTAAATTTTTGTTTAAGTGTTCCGCCGGAATTGCATGTTTTCCATAAATCAATTCTGGTTTCCAGCCCATCCGTGTCGTCAAATACTTTTGATAGGCTTAAAAAAGAAAAACATGTTTTTAATTGTTTCAGACGACGGTCAAAAATTCCAGAAGAAATTAAACACATATATAGCTATTAAAATTCGGATCTGAAAGTAAAGTGGAGATTATTGAAGGAAATGAGAGGTGAATAAACTCTGATCTAAAGCAATAAATTCGGTATCTCTTTATGCCAAAATCATATATATACACACGCATATCTCTGTGTAGTTTGTGAGAGTGAAAGTGAGAGAGGTAGCAGACATGGGTTTTGTTGAAGAAAAACAAGAGAACAACAATAAAAGTGGTGAGAAAGGAGGAAGTTGTAATGAAGAACAACAGAAAGTCCCATTCTACAAGTTGTTTACATTCGCGGACCGGGTCGACATCTCTCTAATAATCGCCGGCACATTGGGCGCCATCGGCAACGGGATGGCGCAGCCGCTGATGACCATCTTCTTCGGCGAGCTCATAAATTCTTTCGGAACTACAGATCCCTCGCATGCTGTTCATCAAGTCTCTAAGGTACTACATACTATACCTACTGGCTACTATATATATATATATATATACTACGTAAAATTATATATGCAAAACATAATGCATAATATAATAAAAATGTTATGGTTTATTATTGTGTGATTTAATTTCCAGATATGTATCAAGTATGTGTACCTTGCCATCGGTTCGGGCATAGCTGCGTATTTACGTAAGTGCATCTATCCATCTTCATTCTTCAATAAGATCGAACTTGTAGCTAGCTAGCGTATGTTACGTTGTGAACATTTAAGCTAGATAGTATATATAGGGAATATATTTAAAAGATGTGTTGAATTGTTTTTATATATTATTTTAATTTTATTTTATTTTATTTTATGTATGTATGGTACGGTAGAGATGTCTTGTTGGATGATTACTGGAGAGCGTCAGGCAGGTCGTATAAGGGCATTATACTTACAGACAATTCTAAGACAGGACATTGCCTTCTTTGACACGGGAACTACAACGGGAGAGGTTATAGGAAGAATGTCTGGCGATACCATTCTCATTCAAGAAGCCATGGGCGAAAAGGTGAAAATATAATTAAAGTTAATTGTTTGATAGATCTGATCTCCCTAATTAATTAATTGTATAAAACAGTACTTTAATTTGGATCAGTTTAATCGGAAAATTAGTATTGTACGAACCATAAAAGAAAGTACATTTTTTAATGTACTAAAAGTATATTATTTGTGTACGGAATGAAATAATGTACTTTTTTTTTTTTTTTTTTCTGAAAACAAAGTACACTTTTGGAGTGTATTACAATGCAGTAACTGTTCATAACTACTGAAATACAAAGAGTGAATAAGACTCAAACCCACAACGTAACCTCCCATGCATGCATATGGCCGGGAGCGTGCAACCTTAGACCACAAGGTCTTGGCCCGGGGCGTCCTAGGATTAAGAGGTCTTAAATAAGTTGTTTGATTAAATATATGGCATTAATTTCCTAGCTGGCCTGCTGCAGGTTGGGAAGTTCTTACAGTTTACTTCAACATTCGTGGGAGGATTCGCAATTGCCTTTTCAAAAGGATGGCTTCTCTCATTGGTGTTGTCTTCGTCCATACCTGCCCTGGTTATAACAGGAGGATCTATGGCGCTTCTCATTGCAAAGATGTCAAGCCGTGGCCAAGTTGCGTATGCACAGGCTGGAAATGTAGTGGAGCAGACAATAGGAGGGATTAGAACTGTAAGTACTACTACATTTGTTTTAAGTAGACAACAGTTTTTAACAAAAGTACAGGGTTGTCTTTTGTATAAAAGACAACAGTTTGGTCTAAAACCGTTCGTCTTTGAAAACATAATAATATAAGTGATCGATCTGATCTGATCTGATCTGTTAGTTACGTATAGGTTGCTTCTTTCACCGGAGAGCAACGCGCAATCAAGAAATATGAGGAGAAGCTACAAATCGCTTATAAATCTACAGTTCAACAAGGGCTTGCTTCTGGCATAGGACTGGGAGTTATATTACTAGTTGTGTTCAGCACTTACGGGCTAGCGGTCTGGTACGGTGCCAAGCTCATAATACACAATGGGTACACAGGAGGAGATGTGATTAATATTCTTATGGCCATCATGAATGGAGGAATGTAAGCAAGCAAGCATTTAATTAATAATAATATATTTAATTTATTGGCTCATCTGATCTGATCTGATCTTATCAAAAAATATATATAGTGCACTGGGGCAGACAAGTCCATCTCTCAACGCATTTTCGGCAGGGCAGGTTGCAGCTTACAAAATGTTTGAGACAATAAATCGCAAACCAGTGATTGATGTTTACGACACGAGTGGCACTGAGCTGCAAGATATTAGGGGTGAAATCGAGCTGAAAGATGTGTATTTCAAGTATCCGGCGAGGAAAGATGTGCAAATTTTTGCAGGGTTTTCAATTTATATCCCTAGTGGCAAGACTGCAGCTCTTGTAGGGCAGAGCGGGAGCGGCAAGTCTACCATCATTAGTTTATTGGAAAGGTTTTATGATCCTGATTCTGGAGAAGTTATTATAGACGGTGTTAACTTGAAGAAATTTAAAGTGAGATGGTTGAGGCAACAAATGGGATTAGTGAGCCAAGAGCCAATCTTGTTTGCAACTAGCATAAAAGAGAACATAAGCTATGGTAAGGAAAATGCTACAGATGCAGAGATCAGAACAGCAATAGAACTTGCAAATGCAGCCAAATTCCTTGACAAGCTCCCTGAGGTAAAGTACGTACGTAGTTATGCATGCATGCATGCATGTTGATCAGATCCAGCATAATATAATTCATATATGTAGGGGCTTGATACAATGGTTGGTGAGCATGGAACACAGTTATCAGGCGGACAAAAACAAAGGATTGCTATAGCCAGGGCCATTCTAAAGAACCCTAAAATCCTCCTCCTTGATGAAGCTACTAGTGCTTTGGATGCAGAATCAGAAAGAATTGTGCAAGATGCACTGGACAAGGTGATGGCCAACAGGACCACTGTGGTCATTGCTCATCGTTTGACCACAATCCGAAATGCTGATCTAATAGCAGTAGTGCAAACCGGCAAACTCGTGGAACAAGGTATTTATGTATATATATAGCTAGCTGGTGGAGTATGTACCTATATATTCAACTGTACTGTACTAGTCATTTTAATTTATTTCTTTATATGTATGTTAGGAACTCATGATGAGTTGATCAAAGATCCTAACGGAGCATATACACAGCTAGTAAGAATGCAGGAAGGAAACAAGCAGCAAGAAGAGAAGACGACAACGACTAGTGTAGAAGATCCAGCTGCTGCTGCTGATGATGATGAATTAAGTAGAAGCCAGCAGGAGCAGCAGATGTTATCTTCTGTACTGAGAAGATCTATCAGCCGTGTACAATCTTTCACGCATAGTTATGCAATTCCAGGGCTAGTTGACATCCAACAATCTGAAGATCAACAAGTAGAAGATAAATTAGAGGAGGCCGCAGTAGTAGATGCCCAAACATTAAAGAAAAGAAAGCGAGTGTCTATCAAAAGGCTTGCCCTCCTCAACAAACCAGAGTTTCCATTTTTGCTTCTTGGAGTTTTAGCAGCATGCTTTCATGGAATAATCTTCCCAATATTCGGCCTCCTTCTTTCCACTGTCATCAAAATTTTCTTCAAGCCTCTACCAGAGATGAATAAAGATTCCAAGTTCTGGGCACTCATGTATATTCTCCTCGGGGTAGCTACTTTAATAGTTGTGCCCATCCAGAATTTCTTCTTTGGAGTTGCGGGGGGTAAACTCATCCAGAGAATCCGTTCTTTAACATTCAGGAAAGTAGTCTACCAAGAAATTAGCTGGTTTGATGATCCTGCGAACTCAAGGTAGGTAGCTAGCTAGCTAGGTAATTAGTATATATGTATCACTTCCAACTATCTCATATATATGCATGTATAGCTTAAACTACATATATATATAACACTACTGGAAATTATTGAATTTCCGACCACCTGAAAGTGATCTTAAATCAAGTTGAAAGCAAAAAGTGGTCAGAAATAGCAACAAGGGTTTCTCCGGATACCAAAAGTTGTCGGAACAAGGCTTTCAACTTGATTTAAGATAACTTTCAGGTGGTCAGAAATTTCAGAATTTCCAGTAGTGTAACCTGCATCGATCCTACCTACTCCTCGATCACCGATCTCCTTCTTCAGTGGTGCAGTTGGCGCAAGATTATCCACCGATGCATCCACTGTCCGGAGCCTTGTAGGTGATGCTTTGGCTCTAATTGTCCAGAACATGGCAACAGTCGTGGCAGGGGTCGTAATTGCCTTTACAGCTAATTGGATCCTAGCATTTATCGTCCTGGTTGTGATTCCACTACTAGGCTTGCAAGGTTTTATGCAGATGAGGTTGTATGCAGGATTTAGTGCTAACGCCAAGGTATGTAATTAGTTAAACTTAATAATAATTACTCCCCTCATATCAGTTCAAGTCCGGCCTTAGCTTTATGAAGTTGTATGCAGGTGATGTATGAAGAAGCAAGTCAAGTTGCAAATGATGCAGTTGGGAGCATAAGAACCGTGGCCTCGTTTTGTGCAGAAGAGAAGGTGATGGCTATGTATCAGAAGAAATGTGAAGAGCCTATGAAGCAAGGGGTTAAAATAGGACTCATAAGTGGAGGGGGTTTGGGCTTTGGTTCTCTTGTGCTCTATCTCACAAATGCATTTTGTTTCTACATAGGAGCTGTTCTTATTGAACACGACTTAGCAACCTTTCCAGAGGTCTTCAAGGTCAGAATAATAATGAATTAATGATTCATGAATTCAAACAACTAAAGTTTTAATTAGCTAGCTAGCTTTTGAATTTCGCAGGTTTTCTTTGCACTGGCAATGACTGCTACTGGAGTTTCTCAATCCTCTGCTATGGCACCAGACCTTAACAAGGCTAAGGATTCAGCAGCCTCTATATTCGACATTCTTGACAGAAAACACAAGATTGATAGTAGCAGTGAACAAGGTACGACATTAACTAGTGTCCGAGGAGATATCGAGCTACAACATGTAGCATTCAAGTATCCAACTCGCCCCGATATCGAAATTTTCAAGGACATGTGCCTCACTATGCCTGCTGGAAAGACATGCGCTCTTGTTGGAGAGAGTGGAAGTGGGAAATCAACGGTGATTGGGCTAGTAGAGAGATTCTATGATCCTGATTCTGGAGAGGTTTTGCTGGATGGGGTTCCAATCGAGAAACTCAACCTAAGTTGGCTAAGGCAACAAATGGGGCTGGTGAGCCAAGAACCAGTACTCTTCAATGACAGGATTCGCGACAACATAGCCTATGGAAAACAAGGAAATGTTACAGAGGAAGAGATCATTGAGGCTGCAAAAGCATCCAATGCTCACAATTTCATCTCCTCACTGCCTCACGGCTACGATACTCCGGTGGGAGAGAGGGGGACACAACTATCCGGTGGTCAAAAGCAACGGATAGCCATCGCTAGAGCGATACTTAAAGATCCAAGAATTCTTCTACTGGACGAGGCTACGAGCGCGCTGGACACACAGTCAGAGCACATAGTGCAAGAGGCGTTGGAGCGCGTGATGGTGAACCGGACCACTGTCGTCGTGGCTCACCGTTTAGCAACAATTAAAGGGGCTGACCTGATTGCTGTGGTGAAAAATGGAGTCATTGCAGAGAAGGGGACACACGAAACGCTTTTGAAAATCAATGGAGGAGTTTATGCTTCGTTGGTAGCACTTCACACCACTGCTACTACTAAATGATCACATCTCATCCCATGCATCCATTCTAGCTTCTTGCCGGGGGACTGATAGATGGAAGATACAAATATTTCCACACACCACCTCCCAACATGTTTATTTATACAATAAATGCATGTGGATGGTTGTTTCATTTTTCTTAATATCAAATTTTAAAATGATGGATACATGTATTATATTCTATCCGGTTTGCAAAATTGCAAGTAACAAATTTAATTTTCTACCTTTGTCCTTAATTAATGTCACTATCTTCTCAATTCTCAAGTATTTTACATCCGCTCATCGTTGCAATATAATGACAATTCGCTCATCAATACATGGAACTACAATCCACGCCCACCTCGCCAACCTCACCAAGGTATCTCCATAATGAAGATTTTATATTTGAGATTAAACCCTAAAAAGTGCACCTTCAAGGCGCATAGTGAAAAAACCTTGGATTCAATAGTCTCGAGGAGAGGCATCGAGTCCAGTCCGGAAAAGATAATGGTCATCTTGGACATGGAGCCTCCATGGACCCTCAAGAAGGTCAATGCCATATGGGCAAATGACTGAAATGGAAAGAAAAGAAAAGACAATGACAAAAATAAGAAGGTTTTAAAAAATGTATAATTTTAGGAAAAGCTTATTTGGGAGATGAACGAGTTTAAGAAAAAAATTGAAAAAGTTTTTTTTTTTTTTTTTTTTTTTTTTTTTTTTTCTAAAAAATACGCCAAAGTGCCACTTGCATCTCTCAAGCATATAGGATGTGAAAATGAAATGCAAGTGGTACGATGTTTCTCGTACAATAAAAGAAACATAATTGCCAATTGCGTTTCTCTTCCATTTGCGACTAACGCCACCAGTCACAAGAGACGCATGTGCCACATGCGTCTCTCATAAGACACAAGTCCCACTTGCATATCTGGTTCATTCGCCACAGGAAAAATGTTATTCTTACTTGTGTGTCAGTTGTGATGTGATGGGTCGATACTCAACAATACCATCACCCAACACGAAACCCAACAAGGGGGTGACACTACAAAAAAATGTGAAAATAGCAACGGAGTTACCGACGGATCCATTCCGTTGCAAACCTAGCAACGGAATAGCGACAACATAGTGACGGGGTTTCATTTTTTTTTATTAAATAGACATATAGCGACGGATTTGCGACGGATTGGCGACGGATTTTACAACGGAATATTTCCGTCGTTAAAAACGTACCTAATTTTAGCGGTAAATTTTTGCGCGTAATCTAGCGACGAATTTTCGCGAATTAATTCTTTCATTTTATTTGCTACAGATTAGCAACGGATGTACATCCGTCGCTAGAATTTTAAGCGAGGTTAATTTCTGTTACAAGTGTAGCGACAGATATGGGTATTCGTCGCTATATAGCGACGAATATAGTGTCCGTCGCTGTAGTGACGGATATTCAGTCCGTCGCTAGATTTATCATGTCGTTTGTTTTCATTTTTTTTTTCTTCTTAGCGATGGATCGTCAAATCCGTCGCTAGATTACAAGCAAGTCAGTATAAAGCAGTAGCCAATTTTTTTTTTATTAATATAGCAACGATTATGGTATCCGTCGCAAGGTATTACTGAAACACGCGTATTTTTTTTTAATATAGCGGTGGTGATGGTGGTAGTGAGGTGGTGGTGGTATGATGTTGAAGATGTTGGTGGTGGTGTGATGTTGGTGTAAAAGTTGGAAAATGACTTCCCCCAGAAAAATGGGAAGTCATTTTCCTCCAAAACAAGCTTATTTTCCAAAGTCAACGGAAAATGATTTCCGTTGACTTGATTTTCCAGGCACATCCAAACAATGAAAACTTGAAAAATAATTTCCAGAACTCATTTTTCAGATTTCCAAACACATCCTTAGTAAATATTTGTTATGTAACAAAATTTTTGGTTTGATTTGCAGTATTGAATTTCAATTAATACTCGCGAAACGGCTACGAACTTCAATTAAAATTCGCGACATGTTTTTATATTTAAATATAAAAATATATTGTAAAAATTAGAAAATGTCTAATAATTATATTAGACAATGCAAGTTGATGGAAACGACGAAGTTTATATTTGTACTAGTTTTTTACGCGCATTGCGCGGTTGAGATAATGCCCAATGTTATTTTTTTAAATAAGTACTTTAAAGTATATTAAGGCAAGATTATATTGGAATTGTTCAGGCATAGGTAATTCTAAGTTTACAAATGTAAGATAATATAGTCAAGATTGATTATAATTGTTAATAAAATAATTGTATAGGTATGGTTGAAACCAAATACAGGACATTAGGGAGAGCAAATAAAAATTAGGGCATAAAATATTAAATATATACTAATATTGAAGAGCTAACTGCTGATTGCCAAACAAGGACATTGCGAGGTAGTTTCCACCTTCAATTTGTTGTGTGATTTGAATACTGTTTTTGTCAATAAAGCCCCCAAGTAGTTAATATGATTGGCTTAATTATATTTTTTTAAAAAAACAATTGTTATTATTATTATTATTATTATTATTATTATTATTATTATTATTATTATTATTATTATTATTATTATTATTATTATTATTATTATTATTATTATTATATGTATACCCTTACATTATTTTACATGTTAATCTAAACAGCTAATTTTTTCAAATATCTTTTTACCAACCGTTGATATAATTCGCTGGTCAAATCCGCTAATATAATCTGCTAACACTAACCGCTAACTGCTGATTCTCAAAAAAGGATATTGCGAGATAGTTCTCACTCCCATTTGTGTGTGATTTGAATACTCTCTTTGTCAACAAATCCCTTAAGTAGTTAATATGATTGGCTTTATTAATTATATTTTTTAAAAATGTTCATGGTATTAATAAAATACTTGGTAAATAAATATATAGCATTATTTTGTATTATAGTTTTAATATTTAATTAAAAAAATAGTGCACGAAAAAGATAATAGACAATGTAGTGAATATAATTAATTGATGAATTTAAATGTAAAGAATTTTACGTTGGAGAAAAATAAAGACAATATAACTAATAAAATTATTTTTCTTAATTAATTTATTGATAATGAATAATTTTTTTTTAATAAAGACATTGTAGGGACAATGTAGCGAATATAATCAATTGATGAATTTGAATGTAAAGAATTTTTATATTGGAGAAAAATAAAGACAATATAACTAATGGAATTATTTCTCTTATTTAATTTATTGATAATAAATAATTTTTTTTAATAAAGACATTGTAGACACATAATTCTAAATTAAAGAAATGCAAATGTATTATTTTTTGTTGTAGCTACTAAATTATTTATTTAATTTAATAAGAGTAAAATAGAGTACTAAATTTAATAAGAGTAAAATAGAGTACTAATTATGTCAACTTTGATTGGGATGGGGTTTGAACCTAAGACTTTTTTTATCGAAATCAATGAGTAAGTTAACGGTGAACTAACAGAAATTAACGAAAAAGATAATATTTAACGGAAAAGTTAACAGATAATCATATTCATTAAGGATAAATTAGGAAATCTTAAGGAAAAATTAAAATCTGATCAATCTGAGCCGTTCATTTGATTAAAAAATTTAACCGCCATTTTTTCTACCCATTACATGCCTAACTCTCTTGAGCTCTTATTAGTATAGTAGATATATTTAAATTGGTCGCTTTTTTTTTTTCTTTAAAAAAAATACTCCGTAATAAAGGAGCATAGTCACAATTTGAACCCTCTTTGAGCAATCCCAATAGGCAGGGGATTCATCACCAACTTTTAATTTAGAACAGTAAAATCTTCTTGTGTTAGCTTTTGACAAATAGGAATGCAAGCTTTTAACAATTTCTTCCTCCTGTAGTTTAAGTCTTTTGTCAGTGTTTTGTCAGGCATTGTTTAGACGCTAGCTCGCAAAACAAATATATGGGGCATCTTCATATAGCTTTGCTAGTTTGTTTGTTTGTTTTTTTTAATCTTTTGGCCATTGCTGTGCTATTGCACAACAACGTCCACAATTTTTTTTAATAAAATTATTTTTTGTTTATATAATCTATTTTAGCCATATAGTATATAATTTTAATTTTTAATATTATATTTATTAGTAATTTAATTTTAATTTATAATTATCATTTCAACTAAATGTAGATACATTAAAACATTTATAATTATAAAATTATTTAAATTTTGATATGTTTAATTTAAATATAATAAAAATAATAATTGTAATTAAAATTTTATAAATTATAATAATAATAAATAAATAAAATAATTAAAATATAGTAGAGTAAATGGTGGGTCCACAAAAAGTTGTTAAAAAACTTAAAACTAGTGGGAAAAAGAATTTTTTTGATTGAATGAGATAGTAAATGATGATGTGGATGTTGGGGCCACAAAAAAATAGGGAAAAACACTTAACTATTGAGGATGCCCTTAGAATTTTTGTGGGTATTCGTTTAAAAAAAAAGTTTAATTACCTTATCGCGTGTAGTTCGGTTATATGATTATATAAAGTTTGTAATTTTGTTTATAGTTTGATTTTCATATTTTTGGTTAGAAAATATTGTAATATGTAATACAGAGGAGTGAAAAAATGTATATGAAACATATATATATATATATATATATATATATATATAAAAGAGCGCTCATATGTGGTCATGTCATTAGGTGTGGTCGTGTAGTACATCGTATCTGTGTCGTTGAATCAGTTTAATCTAACGGCAGTGGTAATTCTGAGGATTTTCGCGTGTTTTGGTAAGTGGGGGTGTTATGGTAATTACAATGGCCATTTATAGCGGACGAGTTCCAGAATACACCAACAGTGTTGACAACATACACCAATAGTGTAATAAAACACACCACAGTGAAACACACCAATGGTGTATTCCCGTGTTATGGTAATTACAGTGGCCATTTATAGCGGTCGTGTTACAGAATACACCAATAGTGTTGACAACATGCACCAATAGTGTAATAAAACACACAACAATGTGATTTTCCCTAATCCGGTGTTTTATGACAAGTTTACCCTTGCAGTTCGCTAGGTAGGAGAATGTGCGCGAAAATACTGAAAAAATCTTGATTAATATGATTCATTGGATCTATATAATCTAATGGCCTATAATTGAACATATGACCACACCTAACAACATGGCCACATGTGATCACCTATATATATATATATATATATATATATATATATATATATATATATATATATATATATATATATATATATATATATATATATATATATATATATATATATATATATAT